CTTATGAACTTTAATATGCGTTATACAGAGGCAAGATGAAAAGAAAAAATACCATCTAAACTTTTCTAAAGACAGTAAGTTCCCCTCAGACATGCATTCATATAAACTCCTACCCCTAAATGAATCGCGATTTGTTTAGCATCTCAACTGATTTGAATCGTCACATATTTGAATCGATTTTCAACCGGCTCGCAGTTAATCGTTACATCCCTATCTGGCAGAGTAACTTGGTAAGTGCTACAAATTAACAAGACTACATGCAGATAATTTATCTGAAACCGTTATTTAATGACAGATTATACACTTTAGATTAGAACAAAGCGCAATGTTTGCGGCGTTCCTGCATGGCTTTGACCAACAGATGTCGCTATCGTGCCGTCACGCTTGCGTTGCGCATGCGTGGATTAAGTCATTATTTCGAGAAAGTTTCTCATTATTTCGAGAAAGTTTCGCATTATTATAAGAAAATAAGTAATTATTTCTAGAAAGTTTCTCATTATTTCGAGAAAATAAGTCATTTCGAGAAAGTTTCTCAATATTTCAAGAAAGTTTCTCATTATTTTGAGAAAATTTCTCATTATTTCGAGAAAGTATCTCATTATATTGAGAAACTAAGTCATATTTATGAGACATTTTCTCATTATTATGACTTAAAATAAATCTTTTTTTTCTCAACTGTGGCAGAAACGGGCTTCCACAGTACTGAGTATTTATGAGTTTTAAAATAGTAGAATCCATGAAGAACTTTTAGTTCTTAATATATAATAAAGCATTTAATTTTCTATGTTCTCAGGCCATCCCATAAGAAGGAAGCTGATAACGTGGTAGCTGAATTATTCAAGTTAAGCGGTATATTTAGCTTCATAAGCAGTTGTCATGCAAGGCGCTATTTTGCTAATTTTTTTAAATACATTTGACAATACCAAGATGATGTGCTGCCAATGTACTACTCTATCTCTGATTACAATGGTCTCAAGGGTATCTCTGTAGGGCAAAGTTTTGCGGAAAAAAAAAGGTGAAGTATCTAATTCAACAGCTACATTTGAATGAATTTTATAAAATAGTAGAATCCATGAAGAACTTTTAGTTCTTAATATATAATAAAGCATTTAATTTTCTATGTTCTCAGGCCATCCCATAAGAAGGAAGCTGATAACGTGGTAGCTGAATTATTCAAGTTAAGCGGTATATTTAGCTTCATAAGCAGTTGTCATGCAAGGCGCTATTTTGCTAATTTTTTTAAATACATTTGACAATACCAAGATGATGTGCTGCCACAGATGTAAATGCATGAGCAAATGTTTCACAATTGTGACAGTCGATGTGACCTCCACCTGGCCTTCAGCTCGGAGGGTTGCTGACAGAGATGGACAGATCTCATCTTTCTTCACCCTTCTCGTTCATGTAGTTGGCAAAGACCTCAGATCACCGCTCGCTCACATTCTGGCTGGGAGCAGCAAGGCTAAGATCCACGATGTCAGCGCTTGACGATGGCGCGTGGCGTACTGCTGAGCAAATCTGCCTGAAAGCGGTACTGTTCCACACTCCCTGAGACACTGAAACATTCATTATGGGTAGCGAGCAAATTGAAAGGGCAGATTCCATCAGCCCACGATGACAAACTTCCTCAGCTCATGACTCTAATAGAGACACAACCCCCCGAAACGTTCCATAATCTCACATCGCAGTGCAAACGTGGTCACGTGAAGTTAGTGAGTCCATGCTAACGTACAAACCTAAATAGCGAACTGTTCTCACATCATGTACCATGCAGTGAAAGTCAAAAACACATAAACGAAGGTCTATATTAGAGTGCCTCTTCATATTAATCTGGTTAAATGTAAATTAATTTAATTTAATCTTACTCTGTGGTATACGAACGGTGTTGATCCGGGATGTTGTCATTGCGATCGTGACGACCGTAACATAATTCTCCCGTTTGCATTGTGATATTTTTACATATTTATTATAATATCTTTTATATATCCCTCCATGGCATATTTAAGTCCCACTTGAAGGTCCATCTGTGTCCCAAATTGATCAGAAACACCTCGGAAGAAGGTTTTCACTGACAGCTGTCATTGTAAGACAGTGAGCAGCTCCGTTTGTTTGTGCGAGTGAGCAACAGTAACTAAGGGGGGGCGGGGCTTACCGATAGGTCAGTTATGTAATTTCAAAATAATAACAAAATAAATAACTGTAATCTGTTACAGTTACTAAGAAAAACAATGTGTAATTAAACTACAGTTACTTATGAAAATGTTAACGATTACAAAGGGGGTTACACAGATTTTATTGATTTCTTTCCCAAATTGCATTGACTGCTCTAAAATACGAGACACCAATGTTTCAGGAGTTTAGGACACAGAATAGGACACATGCTTATTAGATAACTGTTTTATTTCCTATTTGGATTTATGTGTATGCTTTATTTTTTAAGAATAACTGTTTATTCCAAAGCATTGCTAGATGCCAGTGTTTCCTGTCACAGCTATGCAAAGATTTGATTTAAAAAAAGGTTTCATAGCTATTAAACTTATGATTTTAAATTTGTATTTAACCTCAGAATTATCTCAAAAGTAAAAAGTGGTGTTAAAGTCTGATTTTGTGGAGGCTGTGCTTTAAAATTTATCTTAATTCAAGTGATGGATTTAGAGATGTCTGACAGTATTTAGTGTTGAGTACTACTGTAAGGTTTACCCTGCCTGCTTTAAACGTTTCAAAATGATTAACAGTTGAGAACATCAGAAATTTAGAAAAGTAATCAAAAAGTAATCAAATGTAAGCAGTTACATTTCTTTAATAAAGTAATTCCTAAACTAATAAACTAATAAAATAGTTACACTACATTTTAAATAGGGTAACTTGTATTCTGTAACCCATTACATTTCCAAAGTGACCTTCCCAACACTGATCCTAAGACAAGTGATCACTCAAATGGGGAAAAGGCATTAATCATTATGAAGTGATGTATGAATTACCTGGTTCTGTGCAGTTCTTCTCTGTCTCATTGTCTCCCTCTGTGGCCATAAGCCTTCGGCCCAGGTGATCTCTGGGAACAGCAAACCCCTAGGAAGCTGATAACGTGGTAGCTGAATTATTCAAGTTAAGCGGTATATTTAGCTTCATAAGCAGTTGTCATGCAAGGCGCTATTTTGCTAATTTTTTTAAATACATTTGACAATACCAAGATGATGTGCTGCCACAGATGTAAATGCATGAGCAAATGTTTCACAATTGTGACAGTCGATGTGACCTCCACCTGGCCTTCAGCTCGGAGAGTTGCTGACAGAGATGGACAGATCTCATCTTTCTTCACCCTTCTCGCTCATGTAGTTGGCAAAGACCTCAGATCACCGCTCGCTCACATTCTGGCTGGGAGCAGCAAGGCTAAGATCCACGATGTCAGCGCTTGACGATGGCGCGTGGCGTACTGCTGAGCAAATCTGCCTGAAAGCGGTACTGTTCCACACTCCCTGAGACACTGAAACATTCATTATGGGTAGCGAGCAAATTGAAAGGGCAGATTCCATCAGCCCACGATGACAAACTTCCTCAGCTCATGACTCTAATAGAGACACAACCCCCCGAAACGTTCCATAATCTCACATCGCAGTGCAAACGTGGTCACGTGCATTGAACTGCGGCTATGGCAAATAAGAGCCGCTTAATGAGAAAGCCCTCGGGCGCTGAGATGCCAGAACTCCCAAGATACATCCAAAGATCTGGCCTCATCTTCCTCAGCATCTCCTATGGTCACAGAGATGTCGAGGGGACAGTGTCTAAAAATAGCCTTCCTGCTTCCATTTATAGAACGCACAAGGCAAAGCCACAGATCCATTTCTCTCATAATCACAAATCTTCCCTTACAATTCTTTTGTCTTTCCACAAAGCTGCCTAGAGCGATAAGAGCGATAACGATTTCCAGTCAAAGCAGCTTAGTTTACTGTTGGAACAATTCATTTCAATAAGTTGGCAGGACTGAGCTCCATTCCATTGACGTTTTCATGCATATATTACATTTTGTGCAAGATTTATGTCTTTATCAGCATTGTCTGGTCAATATCAGTGACAATGGATGAAAGGGAATGATATTGTGAAGCAAGTAGAATTTCCCAAAGTGTGGACCCATAGACAATAAATCAAAGACACTGAAATTATATTATATGGGATCAGTTTGATTTCTAAGAAGAAAAACTTTCAAATCAATAGTCAAATGACAATCTTAAATGGAACAGGTTCCTAAAGCAGTCAGTAGATTTTCTGTGTGCAGTGGCTTAGTGGGCCATCTGTTTTGAGTGAGTGACTATTGAGCCTAATCTCCACTAAACTTAATATTCAGCCAGATATCAAAATGCAGAAACATCACAAGTCATTAGATGAACTAGTTGAAAACAATTAGGCCTGTGACAAACACATTTTTGTATGCTTCTTAAACTTTATCAATCAACATGAGTGCTGAATGAATGTTATTTGTGGATTTGTGTTATGAATGTTATTTGTGGATAGTTTTCACTTCATTTGTTTTTTTAAAGCTAGTGGCTAAAAAAAATACATATGTGACCTGTGCTGGTAAAATGAGTCACAATGAGCAAATTTTCAAAAAATTGTTATTTTTATTTTTACATTCCCAATTAAAAGATCTTCAAAATGATATACGGGTTGAAGGAATCGGACAAAAAATATATATAGTCAGCAAAGTCCATTTTGAGAAAAATTGTGTTTCTGAAGGCTCCAAAGCAAAATCACCTAGCAACATTTCATCTTTTCCTCCAATTCTTTTCTTAATGATCATTACTATATTAATAATCACAATATAGCAGTAGTAACAAACCATGTTGGAGGTTTTTCAATAAATTTACAACCGCCTAGGATACCTGGGAATTTTTTACATTTGGTAAGCCCTGCATTGTGAAGTCTTTTCTCAGTATGAAGTTCATCCTAAGCAGTGTTGGGCAGTAACTAGTTACATGTAACGGAATTGACCTATCGGTAAGCCCCTCCCCTCGAATGCAGATGAGCCAATGGCAGTCGAGTATCAGTTGCACGGGGAGCGGAACTCGGACATCTTTAGGTTTCAGCGCCATAGAGAAACATTGGAAGATCCGAAGCTCGCATCGGTTTAATGGTGTTTATGCTACAAAAATGGAAAAACAATGTGCCTAGGGTACTTGTAACACTAATTCCAGTTATCCTGAGAGGATAGGCAATGTAGTTTTATTCCATTTCCTAAATCCAACCAAAACAGAGCAAAATGTCCCTAAGCATTCAACCCAATCACAATTCAGGTGATCTCTGGGAACAGCAAACCCCTCCTGAAGCACCAGCCCATGACCTGTGAATGAAGATACACACACATAATTTAAATTGACAAATTCAGAGCGTAGGCGCCAAAGCTGTTGTGAATCCGCTTACCAGATTTGCAGAAAATTACTGTCGTTTAGCAAATAAATAATTTACGGACAGTTACATACATACCCCCAACAATTTAATATATAATCTTATGTTACACCTAAAATGACAAGGGAATTCATAGTAATATTAATTTTAATTATCCATTCTGTGGACTCATTCTGTCAAATGGCTTGGGTATGCTGAGTTTGTGGAGCTTACATGGACTGCACCTCCCTGCACCTATTACATTAAAATGATATATTAAATATTAGTACTTAATTCATTAACCTAATATAACTGTATGAATGTGTTCACTTAAACAAATTTAGTTTTAATATAACTTCAAACAAATACCCTACTGTTTAAAACAGTTTTATACTTTTAGCATGTCATCTTACATTACATTTCATGTAATGTAAGATATCCAAATACTCATCATCATCAAGGAATAGTTTTCAACTTAGTGCTAATTAGCTATATTACTTGTCGGTCAGGCTTGGGGTTAGTGTGATACTGTGGCCTTGATCTGCCTAGCTTTCCGTTTTAATCACTGTTCGTGATGTGCATTGTATCATGGTTAGCAGCACCACAGGGGTTATTTATTTTGAGAAAATCATAGAAAGAAAATGGTGTGAAGATTCAACCATGCATACTACTGTCCTAACAGCCAGAGCCTGAATTAGGATTTCATGCCTCATATTTTGCCTGCATTTCTATGCTTCAGCAGTCGATTTCAGTACATCATTTTTTCATGAGGATATGGAGTGTGGTCCAAAAAAAAAAAAAAACCAGAATAATCACATTTATCTTGTTCTGAAACTATGGAACATATTTACTGGACAGCTGGCATTACAGCTGTTATTCACTGAACACATTGTGTTTATTCAAATTATTTATTAAAAAAATCACAAATTCTGACAAAAATAAAATGTATGATGTTACTTTTTTCCTGAACAACACGAAAGCAATTAACTAGTAGAATGACTAGGTAGCTGTAGTCATCATTCAGTTCTATTCATGATGTTCAACTCTGAAGACTTGAAACACTGTACTAAAGCACTGTGACAGTTTTTCCAGAAAACACACTATTTTAGCTGAATTTTGAGCTCTTCAACATTAAGATTATATTGCAAAAGACTAGGGTGCACTAAATACTACAAAACGATAAACAGACTAATCTGATGCCTACAATGTCTTTTGCTGGCTAGTGGCTACACGCAACAACAAATAGCATGACCAGTGTAGTCTGAATCACAAACTTTTTAATAAATCTGTCCAAAACGGACTCTCAGACCATCAGTTTTAAATCAGTCCAGTGACTCATGACTCACTTACTAGGTAAAATGGTTTGATGAGTGGTTGAATTAGTGGTTCTTGACTGGTTACATTTGACACATCCAGCTCAGATGTTAAAGTGTGAAATAGGTTGTTTTTGAAATGTCAAAATATTTTCTATCACAGTTTAATATGCAATCAGCTAGCCATTATATATATATATATATATATATATATATATATATATATATATTATTCCCCTAAAATAACATAAAAAGTATTTAACTTGCAAAAAGGTTATCAAAAATAATATCTATACATTTGTCCAGTATTATTACTGTTAAAATATATTGTAGTCGAGACCAGTTACCTTGATTTTTTTACTCAAAGAATCATTTTCGGAATTTAAGAAACAACACTGTTAACTTCCAAACAATTCCCATCCTTAAGCCCCGTTCACACAAAGAACGATAACTATAAAGATAACTATAAAGATAACGATATTAGCGTCCACACCAGTTATAGTTTTGGTGTGAACTATGCTATTGTTTAATATTGAGAACGATTTTTAGAACTATATCTTTATCGTTATCTTTATAGTTATCGTGCTTAGTGTGAACGGGCCTTTAGTCCCCACTTATTTGATGACAAAACAAGATAAGGGTGATGACAATTTTCATTCATTTCAAACTATTCTTTTAAATGCACACAATATCTTTTAAATATTCCCAACATTACGAGTAGCCAGACAGAGACTGAAAAAATTCCACAAACTGAAAACTACTGCAGCAAAACCTGTCAAAAATATTCCAACTGCTCCTAAATCAAGAACAGAATGACCCACTTACAGCTTATGAGAGGCAGAAAAAAAGCTGTGAAGTTGTGTAACGAAGTGCCACAGGAGGAGGACAGAATAATGAACTCAACAGCAATAAAAAAAAGTTTATTAAGCAGCATTTTCAGCCTGCACTAACTTCCCTACATTTATCGATGGAGGATAATGAGAAGATGCAGAAGAACAGGAATGAGATTTGGGAAGCTGGTCCATATTAGGTGTGATGTTCTGTAATCACAGCAGGAGTGCACACCAGATGGACTCCTGACAGGCTTATCAGATATGCCAGCATCCGTAGAGCCATTAAGCAGAAAGCACATATTCAGCATCCTCATCATTACAATATCATGTGCAGGTAATCCCTTAAGCCGCTTGTAATTTTGGCGTAATTAAACTCAACCGCACCCACTAGTATCGCTCAGCCAGGAAGGCACACTTTGTAGACAATAAGAGTAAGTGGAAAAGGGCGATGCAAAATCCCCTGTAATGAGACGTCATTTGTGTCTGAGATGTGCTTGTACCACAGTGGTTTGATCTGTGCTCCGTTTATAACCACCTAGGTTCAATGGGTGTTCATTTCAGCTGGAAATTGCAGTCAATTGTATGTGTAGGTAATTCATACAACTTACTGCAGTTTCCAGCTGAAATGAACGCTAGTGGCAGTAAAACGACAACTTTTATACCTTTTTTTACAAATTATGATTACAGGGGTAGATTATAAATACTTAAATACTGTACTTTTTTCCGTGCAGTACTAGGTTATGACCTCAAACACTTTTACCATAGTGCATGATTTGCAAATGTATACATTTTGATGCTTGCATCACATAACCAGCTCTATATGCTTGGCTTTTCTGACTTTGTAAACTTGCTCAGTAGCTCACCTGGTATAGCATTGCATTTGCAATCAGTGTACAAGTCCTGTGAAACAGTCACAATAAAAGAGCTCAAGACTTGTAGAAAAATGCTAAAATGGCACGGTTACTTCAGCAAATGTATTTTTATTCTAACTTTGCTTTTGTTACCGCTATTGGTTAGGTTTAGGGTAGGGTTTAGTGATGGAATGTTATTTTCAAATGTGACATAGCATTAACTTTTAAAGGGATCATGACTGTGAAATCAAAATTCCCTTGATCTTTTGATATATAAGAGGTTGTTGTACTATAAAAACATCCTGTAAGTTTTCAAACTCAAAACTTTCTCATTAGTCTAAAAACAGCTTGTATTGAAGCCAATCTGCAAAAATGACAGGTTGTGGAATGTGCCACTTTATGATGTAATAGTGTGGCTAAACACCGCCTCCACAGAAGAAGATCAACGCCTGCTTCTACATCACTGCCTGTTTAGCCCCGCCTACCGATTTGCGCATTTAGTGTAAATAACTAGAGAGGCAAACGCAGGTTCTACGCAGAAACTAAAAGATAGCTCTGAAGAAGACAAGACGTTGAGCAGTGCCAAGTTATGGAAAAGCACAGTCTTTGCATTGCCTTCCTTCCTTCTGATCCCAAAATTAGGAAAGAATGAATTAACTTTATTTTTAGTGAAGATCCAAACCGAGTCAGTAAGGACTCTGTCCTTTGTTCACTTCATTTTACCATGGGTTTGTTTACAAACAAAGAATAATTCTATGCAGGATTTTCAGAAAGATTGAAACTAAATAACAATGCTGTGCTGACTACTGGATCTGACAGTAATGTCGCACCACACAAGTATGAGTACCTTTTTTATATTACATCACTATTGCTTTGTCTGTTATTACAGATTGTTTGATATGTACTGAGCATTTATGCCTTTTTAACCTAAATCACAGCAGTGTCCATCCATGAAGGATGTAGGCTGTGAAACATACACAACTGTTTAGCTAATCATAACAGTGAGCGTTTACTTCTGAGTTTACAATCTGCCATGCCTATTCAAACAGTGTTCTGATGAGGGGGTCAAAACATGCCAGAAAATAGCCTTTTACTTTTAAATTATGTTTTTTTTAATGTAAAAATCTTGATAACATTATAAGTGGACCTCAGAGAATAGTACAAACTAATAAAAAAGGCATTTCTCAGAGCTAGTCTGCACATAATTTTATTTTTAAAGATTTGTTTTTGTTCCAAACCTGTATGACCTTATTTCTTCCATGGAACACAGAGACGTTAACTAAATATTCAAGATGCAAATCTCAACACACTTTTGAAGTGAGCTGGGGAGCAGTAGTATTAACTGGAAATGTTTTCTTTTTTGATAATCCATTACACTCAGATGTACATCATGATACAGAAGAAATGATTTGTTGCTTCTTCAATTTCATCTCAACTTTAAGAGCTAAAGCTACCAAGAAAGTTCTTCCTGTAATAAAACTATACACTGTAAAAACAGATTTTTCCAATTATTGGATTGATTGTTTTGGATGTTTTACAAGAAAAAACTATTTCAGTCTTTCTACGTTCAGTGTGTTGTTTCTTTGTAATTAATTGAGAAATTTACTTGTAATTTCTGAGTGAAAACGGTTTCTAAACCAATTTTTTTTTTAATGACATTCAAGTAAATTTTCACAGTTGTTGTTAGAACATAAGTGTCAGAAAATGTCAACATAGTCTCAGCCTCGGATGTCACATCCACAGACCATTTACTTAACGTTTGATGCACATGGTACACAAAACTGAAAACACTTCAGGAGTTTCAAAGTCCGCATCTGATTGGTTGAATTATACAGGATGTCCGTGAGTGTGCGTTACATTCTTTAACAGTCCACCTGGAAACAAAGTTATCATAATGCCAAACCCCTCATGGAAGAAAGCTGTCATGTGACAATCAATGCTTATCAGGAACAATTAGATGCTGGATTTTCAAAGGCATGTGAATTTCATGGCATAGCCTTATTAAAATACGTCCAAGATTTTACATGCCGTTCTGTTATTGTACGGACATCAGCTTTACATTTTCACGCCCCTAAACATGACAATAAACAAAACAAATTGTGATTGTTTGCTTAACTTCAGTCAGAAGGCAGTCCTTGGCCAATGAAAGCTGCTATAGAGTCCAGACCTTCTGCCATCACTCTGAATGTCTGTCTATGCAAGACTAATAATGCTAACATGGCAATTTAGTACATTCTAATATATATTCGTAATGCACACCTTCATACCTAAAAATGTACTTCAAAGTCAAGAAGTTGATTCTTCATTGAATACAGAAAATTCATATCAACATAACATTCATGAAAGTAATCAAATCACAAGTCTTGATCTGCCTGTGGCTTTATTGACACCGCCCTTTAGAATCTTGACACGCCCATCTAAACGTTTGACTCCGCCCACGTGGGCTGGATTCAAACTTGGACAGCTTAAAAAAGGCAGCTACCGTTAACAGTCGAATACAACGAAACGCTGCATTCAATTTTTATCGTACCGTTACATATAAACACAATCAGGGACTGTCTGTGACATAGTTTGGACATAAAACCATAGCTTGAAATCATCGTTTGTTTGTTTGTTTCATTGTTGACATATAATAAGACGGCTTTATACTGTACAACCATGTGTAACCATGCCAACCGCCACATCTCCCCACAAAATAGCCCAAAGTATAACGGACGTTGTAAATATGCTGTCAACCCGTCTTGTGCGTTTATTCATGTGAATCCCGAGAAAAGGGATGTTCTCCCCACTCACAGCAGCCTCTATTCACACTACAGTGAATAATTCAACGTCTGACGTCCCAAAAAAGGATAAGTATGTACTACCGCCTTGTCGGCGCATTATTAATACACTATACGATAACGACACGCGTAAGTATAGATGTGTAGCCCCAACAATACATACAGTAAAGGGACAGTCACTCACCTGTTTTTGTGAGCAACGCCGACACACACCACACCAAGAACAGGACGCTGCAGATGAAGCACACCTGCACGAACAGCATCTCTCTCCTTTTGCGAACTTTAAACATTTTGGTAATGATGCTCTTTTTGGATATACTGCAGCTCTGCTCCAGCTCCATGGTCGTCTGCGGCTGGGTCATTTTGTGAGTGGATTTCAGTGTAATTGAAGCCACACAGATGGCCGGGACCGCAGGAAATCAGGCTCGGGATGAGGTCTTCCTCACGTCCAGCGCGCCGATCCCGTCTCTGTGTGTGAGAGAGCTCCAGTCCCAGGTGCCTCCTCCACGCGCTCGTGCTGATGTTGTATTATTAAAGCAGCCCGCGTGTCCTGTTGCGAGAAAAAAAATGCTAATTATATTCAGCTGAAATTATTCACTAGACATATTGTGGACGGTGTGCAGTCGGGCTTCACAGTTGTCTGGTGATAGTAAGACTAAAACCCACATTCTCTTTGACATAAGAGCTATACAGGGTGAGCTAGGTGTCCTGGTATTTCATGAAATATATAAGCAGCCCTGTCAGTAAACGTCTTTAGGATCCATGCCGTTTAGGCTCAGTCCTCTCAAGTTGAGGTTTCATCTCCCTCTCATGCAGCTGCTGTGACTTCTACATGTGAGAGACTGTTACGCGCCTTCACGTGACACTGATGACGTATGCACACTGAGCCTACTACACTCACTACACTACTAGACTAGACTACTATAATCCTTGGAAAAGGCATGGCTTCTACCATATAAATAGTGTAGGCCATTCTTAATAAATCCACTGTAAAATACTGCATATCACACTAACGATATCAATAGTAAATTCAGAAATGATCATTTTATCACGTGGATCATATTTTCTTTAAATGTTCTCTTTTTAGGTAGGGGTTTAATTATAGGATGCAATTGCAATGTGTTATTTTCTTTTGATTTAGACTACTGTTCAAACGTCTACGGCCTGTAAGAATGAATGCTTTTAATACTTTTATTAAGCAAGGGTGTATTAAAGTGACAGTAAATACATTAATAATGTAACAAAAGGTTTCAAATGCGGTTCTTTTGACCTTTCTATTCATCAAATAATCCTGAAAAAGTTTCCACCAAAAATATTAAGCTGCTTGACTGTTTAGAACAATAATAATGTTTCTATAAATATATAGACAGTTATAGTTATACCCAAGTTTGAGATTTTCATGGATGTTTATAGCTCAATAATATTAACCATTGACCATTTAAAATTGCCCTATTAAAAAATGATGGGTTGTTGTAAATTAATCCTTGGTGAGTCACTTTGACAGACTTAGGTAGAAAGCAGCTTATATGGTGACGAATGGCTGAGCAGCATTTTTTCCAGGCTTTTTCCATGGGTTCTTATTGTGTGAGGCCATACATTTACAAATGACAAGAAAGTGGTTCATAAACTTAGTAATGCAGTGACCACAGGATGCAATGGTTGTACTTTCTAAAGGAAAGAAGCATTTTTTTTTTATCCTTTTGGAATAATGTTTTTTTTTTTAAGGAAAACGTCAGGTTAAGGTCAGTTGCCTAGTGCAATAGCAATATTCTCTACAAAGATGATATTGCTATTGAATTAACTAGTCACAAAAAGGGAAAACAAATATCAAAATCTGTAATTTCAAGAAACTAAATTAAGATCACAAACCATTTTCTCGCAACTGTTCTACAACCTTCACTATAAAAACTTGAGAAAAGTGTGATATTTGACTGCCAAAACAAGTTTTCCCGGACACTGGAAACAGCACATATAAAATCAGCACACCTAAAATTGAATTCACTGGGGGAAAAGCACATCATTGGTAATATTTTTTACAACCAAAGCAATGCATCTGTAATAGATTGACTTGAGTCCTGTTGAAAAACACACCTCAAAAATTTCATGGATATATGATCTAGTAACACATATACAGTATATTTTGTTATTGTGACCATTACTTAAAGTCCCAAATTTGTTTGTTTGTTTCATTGTTGACATATAATAAGACGGCTTTACTGTACAACGTGTAACCATGACAACCGCCACATCTCCCCACAAAATAGCCCAAAGAATAACGGACGTTGTAAAGATGCTGTCAACCCTTGTGCATTTATTCATGTGAATCCCGAGAAAAGGGATGTTCTCCCCACTCACAGCAGCCTCTATCTGACAGACGATCTGGCCAATCATAACGAATCTGCCATCTTGCCCGACAAACAAATCAGACAGGAGAGTAGATTAACTTCGGTGGATTTAAATTTGGAAAATTGTGTGTATTGAAATAAAATACGTTATGATGTTCATTCATGTTTATTTTGTGTTTTAAGTAAATAAGACAATCGGTTCACGTGCCGCTTGAACTGAGGTGCTACAGTGATCCGTCGTGACACATTAAAGAGACACAAAACGGTATTTATTGTTTGAATTTCTTTAAAAAAGACAAAATTTTAAAGCTGAGTCCTTGTTTCATACCAGAAGTACCTGCTCGGTCTTGTCTGCCAATATATATATATATATATACTGTATTTATATTGTTCATATGAATTATATTCTGGATAAAAATAAAAATACAAAATAATAGAATTTATTTGAAATAGAAAACTTTTCGTAACAATATAAATTTCTTTCCTGTCAATTTTGATCAATTTGATCTTACTAACCCCAAATGTTTGAACAGAGTACCTTAAAGGGTCTCATGTGAATCCCGAGAAAAGGGATGTTCTCCCCACTCACAGCAGCCTCTATCTGACAGACGATCTGACCAATCATAACGAATCTGCCATCTTGCCCGACAAACAAATCAGACAGGAGAGTAGATTAACTTCGGTGGATTTAAATTTGGAAAATTGTGTGTATTGAAATAAAATACGTTATGATGTTCATTCATGTTTATTTTGTGTTTTAAGTAAATAAGACAATCGGTTCACGTGCCGCTTGAACTGAGGTGCTACAGTGATCCGTCGTGACACATTAAAGAGACACAAAACGGTATTTATTGTTTGAATTTCTTTAAAAAAGACAAAATTTTAAAGCTGAGTCCTTGTTTCATACCAGAAGTACCTGCTCGGTCTTGTCTGCCAGTGCGTTGTCAGTTTCCTCTTTGTTCCGCGATGTATTTTTTACTGCGTTAGAACATGGTGTGTAATGTGAGAGTGGCTTGTCGGACATAGCAACAGTAACTAAGGAGGGCGGGTTTTGCGAAGGGTCAATTCATAATGCCACTACACCCAGAGGAAAAGTCTATACCCTGTTGTCCTCACACATCAAAATCCACCAACATATTTGTTTAGAACTGTTTTGGATGGTTTTCACTTATAAATGGTGTTAGATCTGTGCATATTTCTCTCTTGATTCAGATGGCACAACGTTTTCACTGGAGAAAGCAATATTGTGAATAGAAGACTAGAAGCAATGGTTTATATTAATGGTTTTCTTACAAATACGCAGCTTTTCACTTCACAAAACATTAATTGTACTGGAGTTCGTGTGGATTACTTGTGGATTATTATGATGTTTTTATCAAGCTGAATTTCTCCAGATATGTTCTGATGAAGAAACAAGTACTCATCTACATATTGGATGGCCTGAGAGTGAGTCCATTTTCAGCAAATGTTCATTTGGTGTAGAAATGGTGTAGAAACAATCACAATTTGCTAGTAAATTTCACAAACAATTACAAAGAAACATGAAACAAATTAAACATGATTTTTTGTGAAACTCCGATGCAAAACTAAACAAATTTCTAACAGCTAAGTCCAGCACATCAGTTTGTGCGTGTTAAAGCTCAACAACAAGGAATCAGCCTCAGGGTGGACTGTTAATGCGGTCTTTTTTGCTGGGCCATCGTTCAATTGCCTGAACTAAATGCATCGCCAGACAAAAGATGAAGCAAGGGGATGTTGCATGCTCGCAAATCTGTTTTCACCAGCTACAGCCTACGCTGGCTGATGTCAGTGCTTTTCAATGTCAGTTTTTTGCTAACCATTCTTCAGGCTAAAAGAACAGGACTGTGTGACGGTTAGCAAGATTTACTGGACACTGATGCTACCGGTGTGCCCCCTGCAGTGCACGCTGGGTAAGTTTGCCAAAAGACGGTGTGGAATAGCTCAGAAGTCAAGCTGCCTTCTTGTAATCATGTGAATGGTCTGCACTTTTAAAGGTTAGCTGGTGAGAATTTAGGCTGAGGTACTGTTCCAGGTGAAATCCTCGATGCTGTGCTGATTTGTTGTAATACAGAGAGACAGTATATGTTTGTTTAAGACAGGGGCTGTACAGAGCCAGCAACCTCCCTCCCAGACAACCATCCTAAGAGCGCCCAATATAAGAAAGCTAGATTACCTCAACATTTTATCACAACTTTCATTAATAATCTGACATTATATTCACGTTTTTAATGTTAATTCAAACAGGCAGAAATTTCCTATATGTTTTTTAAGAAATTTAAAATATATATATATAT